ACTTAGTAATTTTTCCTCTTCTCTCCTATTCATGTTATTAGCCATTTGACCTAATTGGGCCTCTAGCTTGGCAATGGAGTGAGTGTAGGAGTGAACTACTGGTGCTAACCCCTTAAGCTCTGAAAGAACACAGGCGGGGGTTGTGGTTGCCGGTAAGGTTGTGGGGGGTGGTAGGAAGATTGGTTGGCAAAATTATTAAAATTCTACCTTGGTGGTGGAGGGTTGTAAGAAGTGCCTTGTGAAGGAGGTCTCCATGAAAATTTAGGGTGATTTCTCCATCCCGGGTTGTATTTGTTGGAATATGGGTCATTACCCAGTTTGGCGAATCCTTGAGCTGCATTAATATGCTCTTGGACTAACTCGTGAAATTGTGATGCCGAAGGGCACTCACAAAAGTCATAAGTAGGGCTCGCACAAATAACACATGCCTTGTGAAATTGAGGCTAAACTTGCTGTGTGGGGGCATGTCCTGAAGCTAATAGTTGGTCCATTTTACAAGACAATGCCTCTACTTGTTGGGCTAACTCTAGATTATGCCCCCACCTAATAAATGCCCCCTCTTTTCGGGGCATCGACTATAGGTTGCCGGACTTGCCGGGTTGCGGAGGCATAGTGAAGGGAATTATCACTTAGGTTCTCAAATAATTCCCATGCCTCGGCGTCATTTTTTGACATGAATGTCCCATCACATGAAAAATCTACCATTTAGCGGTGAGGCTCAGTTAAGCCATAATAAAAGGTCTGGACAAGTTTCCATTCAGCCACTTGGTGGTGGGGACACTGTTGGAGAAGGTCACAAAGTCTCTCCCATGTTTTATGAAATTACTAGCCATTAATTTGAGCAAAATTGGTGATGGCTCGCCTAAACTGGTTGGTCTTACCTATAGGAAAGTACTTCTCTAAAAACTTCTGCTGTAATTGGTCCCATGTTATGATAGAATTAGCAGGTAAGGGCTTTGTCCTTCAGTGAAAATGGGAATAGTCACAACATTAGGGCCTCATTAGTGAAATTCTAGATTTTCACTGTAAAGCAAATTTCCATAAATTCATGCAGATGTTTGTCATGGTCATCATGTGCTAGTCCATGGAATGATGGGAGCATTTGGATGGTGCGGGACTTAATCTCATAACGAGCAGTAATAGTGTCTGGTAACTGAATGCATGATGGTGATGTATATGCGGTGGGTGTGAAGTAATCCTTAAGGGCTCGGTTGGGCCTATTTAGGAAAGCATTTTGGTTCGCCATCTCTAATGGTTCTAAGCATCAATATGGATATTCAAGCCTAGGAACTCGGGAAGATGCTCTAAGGTTCCTAAGAGTCCTTTCTAGTTCAAGGTCCAAACTCCACAATTCAAGGCAACAAGAACGGCGCCCGTGCACACACGCACACACACTAAGTTCCGACTTTTGTGTGCTAAGTTATGAAAGCAAAATACCAAAGGAGAAAATACTCACAGTGGTTTAACGAAAATGTTTTACTCGTCTTGCGGGTGCTTGACGTGTAGACCGTTGTCTCCAATCTCCACTTGAGCTGTCCATTTTTAGCACTTTGGTGCTTTTCTTGCAAGTATTTGCTTCTTCTTTTTTTCTTTTTCTTTTTTTGTTTAAGCACTTTAGTGCTGCAATTGTTTTTATTTATTTTTTTCAAAGTTTGGTTGCGCTCCGCTTGCACTTCGATGATAGCTCCACTTGCAAAAAAAAACTATGCACACTTAGTAACACGAAAACAAAAAATCCTAAACTAAAAATTAAAATAAGAATATAATTTTCAATTAATTAATTTCGCCAAAAGTCCCTGGCAACGACACCAAAATTTGGTGGGTCATTTTACACACAAAAAATAAACACTAAACTGTACCAAATTCCTTAGAATAATGGTAAGTCTAGGTATCGATCGACAGAGACAAATGTAAAATTAAACTAATTTAATTGCTAAAATTCCTAAATTAAGTTTGATCAAAGAGATGATTATTCATAAACTAATGATAATTAAAATAAACGAAGAGATTAAACTAGCAATTAAAAGTAAAGATGAAGTTATGATTTTGGAAAAAAAACTAGGGTAATGAATTCACCACTAGTTACATAAATAAGTTCTCAATTTGAAAATCAATTATGTTATGGTTCGACCCAAATACTACTTCGCAACTACATGTCCAAAGCATTGATTAAGAGAATCATCACGTTCAAAGTACAGGCACTAACCATCTCAAGTAGCATGAGTCGTTCGGTCCAAGCTAGGGTAGCAATACGACTCGTACCTTATAGTATGGCTCGTCTCATACCTTGAATATGAAAGCAAAGAAAACTATGCATGGAAAGCATTCAACAATCATAGAAAGTAGAATACTTGAAAGAAATAATGGAAAATATATTTAAAAACTTCTTGAAAACCATACAACTTGCTCAAACCTTTATGTAATCAAAACCAAAAAGAAAACCCTATTTACTTGGCTAGGGTTTCATCAAAAACCTAGAAATAGAAGCATAGCTATTCATAGAGGAGTGGGAGAGGTATAAGAAGAAGAAACCCCATGAAAGATACTCTTGAAGCTTGAGAACCCTCATTTCCAAACCCTAGCCCCCTCCTCTCTTTTGAAATATTTCGGAACTCTAGTGCAGTCTATTCTTTCTCTTTTTAGTCTCAGCAGAACAAACCTAAAATTCTGTGCACATGTCCCTAGGTGGGCCGCTCGAGCGCCCATAATTTCTGCTCGAGCGCTGGTGGGCCACACGTAAGATGGGATGGTACGTCAAGAAATTTCACTACTTCCACAGAGAATCTGCTTTTGTGTCATTTTTCGCCTACATTTGCGTGTTGCCTGCCAAATCTATATAGGTGTACAAAATACATCATCTTCGCTAAATAAACAAATTTCAAAGACTATAAATGTAACTTCATTTGCTTCAATGTGGTACCTTTCGACCTACATCAATTTCTTTTTCTGATTTTCTTTTGAAAATTTCTTTTTGAATTTTTTGCTGTTTTTTTTATTATTTTATTATTTTTTATTTTTTAAAGTTTTTTTTTTTTATTTTTTGAAATTTTTTATATACATACCATATATACATATACAGATAAAAAAAACATACAAAACATGTATTACATACGTATACATATAAAATACATATACACAGATAAGCTATATACATATATGGACATACGAGCTATATATACATATATGGATGCATACTTATTCATATACGTATACAGACACAGACATATGGATACAAATATACGAATACAGATACGGACAAACAAACGTATATATATATACAAAATATATATACAAGATATATACGAATATTCACTCCTCTCCTATTTTTGTCTCTCTCTCTCCCCTCATCTTCTTCGAGCGTCATGTCTGGTGCGTAGCGCGTAATTTCAACAATCACGACGTACCTGACCAATAGCAGTTGGACCATCCTCATTTATCAAATATTGCCTCGGTAATCTCTCTTCTCTTGGCTTCTTCTTCTTCTTCTACATTTTCTTCTTAAATCGAGGCCTGTGAGAGAGCAGAGTAGAGAGCTGCAAACTCTTACCGCCATTACTCTGCCAATTCTTTCTTTTGAGGTATTGCACTCCTCTGATATGGCCTCTTTTCGCCGTCCTCTCACTCTCTTTCCTAACCTTAACGATTCTTTAATCAAGAATGCTGAGGCCAGTACCTCTAAGCCTCGGCAGGGTGCCCTTGCCCCTGTTCTCAACTTTTCTGCGCTATCAATTGAGCAAATAATGGCAGCGCAGTCTGATATCGATGCCAACCACTTTACATTGAAGTCTTGTGTGGAGATGGTGATCGCGGTCTCTAATTTGTCCCATCGGGTGCAAAACATGACAAGTGAAGTACACCGATTAAATGCCTAACTCTCTCTACTCCAGAGTATATACGAGGATGCTTAAGCAGAGATTAGCACCCTAAAAAAGCCAACAACGTGCTGAAACGATAGGCCACCTCTGTGGCTTGATTCTGAGTTCCTTTGTACTCCGCATTTGATGGCTGACGGAGAGTAATTTCTTTTAGAAGCTTTGCCAATGCCGAGGCAGAGTCTTCAAAGGACTCCCGATAGTGAAGATATGGTGAGGGAATTTACGGTAGAGTCAAGTGACAAAGTTGTCTGCAAATGGTGTCAATTTATAATCTTCGTCGCCAGGCTGTTGTCAAAAAATTGAGAAAATGTCCCTCTCTTTTTTTCTTTTTCAATTTGTTTCTTTTTTTCTTTTTTATTTTTTGTTTTTGGTTAGCAAGGAGCATCAATACTTCAAAATTTCCCTTGTTTTTTTTCCCAAAATTTTTTTCTCTTTTTCTTTGTCATCATCTGGTGGGGGGGCTTCACCCTGAAATTTAATAAAAGTTCTTTTTTGCACATCATGGCGTGAATGGCATAACACTTCACTATTAGAAAATGAGACTTTAAACACGGAACGTTTTGCGACGATTTAAAAATCATCGCAAAAAACATGTTTTTGCAATGGTAAAAAAATCTGCCACGAAATCATTTTTTTCTTTTTTTTGCCATAGTAAGTGACTGTCGCCAAAAAAGATATTGGATACATATTATTATTGGAGACAGATAACCGGACACCGTCACAAAAGGTATTATTTTTTTTCATTTTTTCTAATTTGAGATGACCTTTTACACCGTAGCAAAAACTTAATCCCCTAATTTTCCACAATTACTACAATAATAAATATAGGCCACACCTAAAAATTTAAAACCATCCCATTTTTAATTCAATGTGTGATAAACAAAAAAATGTGTCATGTAACTTTTTTTTTCTCAGCAGCCCACACCCAACAAACAAACAAATCAATTTTTGTTTTGAGATTCCAAACATCTCTCTCTCTCTCTCTCTCTCTCCAATCCCTAACCCTAGTCTTCTGCATATCCTTGATCGGACGACACCCATTCAACTAGTAAAGAGTGACCAGCTGTAGTGATCAGTGGGAGTGGTAGCAATCAGCGAGCGACAATGACGACTGAGGTAGATTCTTCTCTTCTCTTTTCTTCTTCTCTTATCTTCTTCTACTATTTTTCTAATTCGATTTTTGTTGAAATCAACCCTTGATTTTTGCTCTTTCTCCCCTCCCCCAATTTCAAACCCTAACTATAATTTTCAATCTGTCATATCTCAGCCCCTTCTTTGTTCAACCTCTCAAGTCTTGCCACCATTTCATTTTTTTGTCAAGCATTTCAATTTTTGAGTTCCGTCCATTTTTTACTTGCAACTGTAGATCTTCTTGTTAGACTAAAATGCTACTTTCGTTGGAAAAAATGATACTTTTCTTTGGTTTTCTTGGGGTAATTTATGTAGATGTGTGTTGCTTGTTGGGACTGAGTTGGATTTTAGTGTTTATATATATAAATATATATAAAAAAGGATTCCTATTTTCATATATCAGTTTTTGTTCGTATATCTCTATATCTACTTGTATATAGAAGAATAATTTTTCAATTTCGTCTACTTTGGTTAGTGTTTTAAATTGAATAACTATACCATGTTGTTGGATAATCTTTGAGAAGCAAATTTAATTAAATTAGTTTCACAAATACAAAGAATCAATTAGAGTAGCAAAATTCGTTTTGGAAGATTTACGATCAATTTGGTTCACTCTAAGGGGATCAATTTGGTTCACTGTAATGGTTTTCTATTTTGGTGTAATGAGAAGAAATGTGGTATGGAAATACTATGGTTGGTTAGTTCTATTACATTTTCTTTTATGAATTTCTTATTGCCTCCAATCTTAACTAAATTAACTAAATGTATTCACTCTTTGCTTAATATGCATGAAAAGCTTCGGCAGACTCGTGAATTATATGCCGCCTTTAATGCAATGTTAGAGATAAAAGACTTGATACTAAAGAAAACTTCTTTGTTAAACTCTATAAATTCACAAGTATAGGCAAAGTAGAATAGAATAGCATTAACTTGCCATATTATTTTTTCCTCGTGTTTATGCTTGTGAATCTTGGATTTGGGTCTTGTCAGTTACAACTATTTACTTTTATTTCCGTATTTTACTTCCTTGTCTTGCTTTCTTTGTTGATTTACTAACCTTAGATGCATTGTTCCTTTTGATTTAAATTTTCTTGACTTGTTTTTTATATTTGTTTTTGGTCGGCAATTTCAGGGCATTGATGTATTTTGCACATTATGATGATCCCATTTCTAACGTATTTTTAATTATTCTTTTAGTCAACCAAGTATGGGAATTGACATTTTGATGGAGTGACATTTTGTTCCACTTCATTCCAGTGATCAGTGTACCAAACACTACCTTAATTCTTCAATATTTCCTTGTGAAAATCTACAGAAATTGAATGCATCTTCAATAATCTTCAACCAAATTTTGAGGAATTGTGTGATCTTATCAAAATTAGGGTGGCCATTAGGGTGAAGTCTTATTTAAAAGGGTATTTTTATTCAGCTACAGAGATGGTGCATAATTTGTAGTAGGTAAGGAGGAGCATTGGATCTTCAATCAGGCTGTAGAAGTTTTCTCAGATGGAATGAGCTAGCTAGAGTATGATATGGTTTTGTGGTATGCTCTTTCTATGTGTTGCTATGCTTTACTTAGTGCTTTGGCTGAGTGCAGTGTAGTTTGCTTAGTTTTTGCTTCACTTTATTGGGCTGCTGTTTTCATTGGTGTTGGCTATCTGATGTACTCATGTGTTTGGGCCACCCTTTGGTCTTGTTGTTTAGGTTTTTTTCCTTGCTGCATTGGTTCCTCACCAACTCTTGATGGTGTGCTAGTGTGCTTATCGATGCCAACCTAGTTGGGATGTTTGTTTAGGCCAATTCTCTCTGGGCACAAACAAGTCCAATTCTATAATTTCATTTAATGATATTAGGATCACAGTTCACACAAACAGCATCTTCAATCTTAGCTTGTATTTGGTTTATAAATTTAGTGAACAAAAAAAAATATGATAATTATTTTATTTATTTATTTTATGGAGAATCATTTTCTTCAATTTGGTGACCTTAAGGTATATGAGATTAAAGAGAACATGGGAAGGACTGATCGAAAGATAATTAAGACATTTTACCATTGTATGTGTGAGGCACAATAATGACTACTTTATTAAAACTTTTTAGTCGCTAATTACTTTCCGCGACCCTCAATTGGCGACCAAAGTGGCGACCAAAAAAATTAGTCGCGGATGACTTTTGCCGACTAAAAATGGACTTTTGCCGACTAAATTTTTAGTCGGCAAAAGTGTTAATTCTTGTAGTGGTGTGAGGCACAATAATGACTACTTTATTTTTTGTCACAGCCTCATGTTTGTATAATATTTGTATGTAAATGAAACCTATAGTTATAACATAAATGTTTTGAAGAACGGTTAAAAAGGTGTGGATGGTGGCTTTTTTGTGCCTCTAGAGAGGGAAATCAGAGCACTTTTGAGGATGTTGAGTTGGGGGATTCATAGACTTAAATCAGTTTTTTTTGTTGTTTTCATTATTGGTTGGAAGGGAAGCTTCGTAGCACCTTTTTTTCTTTTTGTATGCACTTTTGTATACAGGTTGCCCTTCTTTTTTTCTTTTTTTTTCTCCTTATAATGAAATGACTAATTTACTTTTTTATATATATACACTAACCCTCCCACAGTTCAACATTGCATGTTTAACTGAATCCTCAAAATTGATTGAATTGAAAGCCTGTGTTTCTTATTGCTTGACACGTGAAATACAGAAATTGATAGTCACGATGTAGTTTTGCAGGAATTCAGCTAGCATCTTATGCTTGATAAATATTGTCTTTGCTCAAAACTTTTTAGCCTAACAATTGTCTTGTTTTCCTGAATCATTGATGACATCATTTTTTTCTTTGTCATGTGCTAATAGATTTACATCAGATGTTAAAATCAAGAGCATTTCGGTTGTTGGTGGTATTGATGGAACAAGTCCTTCCAATATGAGGGCGTAAGTTTATCTTTATTAATCCTCCTACTGTGATCCTCCATTGGATTTAACGGACTGATAACATTCCTAGTTATCACTTTCTCATTTGACTTTAGTGCAAATGGGTTATTTTCATATTAGGAGTTCTATTATCTTTGGAGCAGAAATTTGGTAATGCACTTAAAAAAAATAAAAAATAAATAAAAAAGAAGAAGGAAGACAAAGATGGGCTAGCTCATATGTCCTAAATGAAAATAGAGATAGACTAACCTAAAAAAGATAAAACGACAATAGAAGATTTAGTAGTGTTTTTTTTCTTTTTCTTCTTCATTTGGGTTTCAAAAATTTTATAATTGTTGTACATAGTCAAGTTAATTGCTTATAATTTCTCTATCTGAGACAAGATCCTTCGATCTTGAAGTTTTTGAAGCTGACCCCAATATCCCCAATGGTTTGGGAACTTATGTTCACCTCTTTTTAGGTTTCACACCAAGACTCATCTCCGCTTCAATGACTTCCCGAGGTCTAAGAACAGTTAGAGTTATTGGAAGATACATTGTGTGGCACTTGACTCACGTATATGTTACAATCTTATTTTTGTATTTATTTATTTATTGAAATAAACATCAAATGTTTTACATTTACTATAAGCTTGAAATTAATTATATTGTAAATGATGATGATGATGATGATGATGATTATTATTATTATTATTATTTGCATATACAATCCTTTTGAGTACGTGATGATATCTTCGCATATCAATATTGAAGCTTACAATCTTATTTATTTATTGTTTATTTATTGAAATAAATATCAAAAGTTTTACATTTTCTGTAAGCTTGAAATTAATTATATTGTAAATGATTTATTTTATTTTATTTTATTTTTTGGGTTTCCTTTTGCAGATGCAACCCTTTTGAATACGTGATAATATCTTCGCATATCGATATTGGAACTTACAATCTTATTTATTTATTTATTTATTTATTTACTGAAATAAATATTAAATGTTTTACATTTTCTATAAGCTTGAAATTAATTATATTATAAATGTTTTTTTTTTTTGTTTCTTTTTGCAGATGCAACCTTTTTGAATACATGATGATATCTTCACATATCGATATTGCAACTTACAATCTTATTTATTTATTTATATATTGAAGTAAATATCAAGTGCTTTACATTTTCTGTAAGTTCGAAATTAATTATATTGTAAATTATGATTTTTTTGGGGTCTCTTTGCAGACGCAATCCCTTTTGAGTGCGTGATCATATCTTCGCATATTGATGTTGAAGCTTACTGTTGATATTACAACAAGATATAATAGTTTTTTTCTTTGTATTGTCAATACTTTTGTTTTGTTTTAAATACAAAAATTTGAGTTCTTGAATATCAAAAATTATTAATATTGTTGGAGGATGTTTTATATATTTTTGTAAAGAATATTACTTTGGTTGACAATTGTTACAAGGTACATATATATTATTCTTCATATGATTTTGTGAATGTGGATGTAGATATTGATGTAGATGTGTGGATGTGGAAGTGGATTTATTTTATTTTAGAAAATATTAATAATTCGTACAAGGAATCAATTAATAAAATATATATTGATTTTATGAAAATAATTTTATTGCGACAATAATAAACCGTTGCTAATGTAATCATCAGTTCCTTTGTATTTTACTAGCGACGGGCTAACCTGTCGCATATACATATTAGTTCAAATCTTTAGTGACGGTTTAAACTGTCGCAAATATGGTATTAATTTAATTCTATCTTTTTTGGCAACGTTTTAGACCGTCGCTAATAATACTTTTCGCGATGTTAAATACTGTTGCTAAAAATGTTTTTGGCGACGGCAGCTAATATCGTCACTAAAAGTGAAGTTTTTTTCCCTTTTTCTGTTATCCGGTTAAACCATCGCAAAAACCATCGATTAGTCGTCGCTACAAGAAAGTGATGATTAGTACCCATCACAAATACTTTTTGTCACACTCCCTTCCGCCACCTCCCATTTCTTGCCGTTACTCCATCACAAAAAGTCTTTAACGACGATATGCGAACCTTTTGCGACGTTTAAGCTCATCGCAAAAGTTTTGATTTAGTAGTGCTTAAGCATGAAAACATTTTGTTTTGAATTTGAATCTAACAATGATTGAATCTTAATAAACTCTAAATTGAACATTGAGCCCTCAACTAACCAGAAATCAATAAAATGACTCAATGAAAGAAAAAAAAAAAAGGGGGCAAAAGCAATCCAAACACACCTATTTACACTTGCTGGAATGAAAGACACTCAAAACAAGACTCCAAAAGACAAACCATTCAGCGTACGCAACCTCTACAGTTTTCCATTCTAGATTCAAAAATTGGCTGGCCGACCAACCAGCCAAAAAAATTGATGGGCCAGCTGATTTATGAACTACCCGGCTAAACGAACTAATGAACTGGCTGAAAATTTGGCTGACCGACTACACAAGTGGCAAGAAACCATGACTCAATGGAAGAAAAACAAAGCAAAAACAAGACAAACACATCTATTGACACTTGCCGAAATAGGAAGGACATTAAACTTCAACGCGGGCGTAATTAGAAACACCACAAGTGTGACGATTGAGGGTGTGTTTAGAATATCGTAGACGCGACAAATGCGGGCACAGTTTAGAATATTGCGAGTGAGATACCTTGTCGGAGACAAATATTACGCATTTTCAATAGAGACTTTCGAACCTTACTCGACTGTGCCCCTATTTCATCGCTTTAACTGTTTTTTTTTTCTCGTTTTTGCTAAAAGGATTTTGATCAACGTGACTTAAATTAACATGCTTGTTTCACTCTCTGTTTTGAAATCATGTAAGTCAAGCTGTGAGCACTGAAATATTTCCTTTTTAGGGTCCAAGAAATGGTCTAGATTTGCAAAACTTGGGCTAATCTTTCGAGAAAATTACTCAACTCCATTAAAAATCATCAAAATATGTTTTCACAAATGTCCATTATCTGACCAACATGAAATCAATCTTTGAGATATACAAATAACCCAAGCTTGATTTGTCATGAAACTGAATATGCCGTAACGAAGAGATAGGACAACTGAATTGAACAGAGATGAGGCAATTGAACATGGACAAGACAGTCGAATCAAGTACAAATATACCAATCAAACATGGACGGGACGAGTGAGTTAAACCTGGTAGGGGCTAAACTTTAAGATGAAACTGCCTACGTATGACAACCCCATTCTGTATCATGTTTTTAGTTCCTTAATTATGTATATGTTTATGTGGTAAATATGAATTTGAGTGATAATTATGTTATTAGTATGTCATTGACCTTATATTTGTTGACCGTAGGAAGATATGCTAACAATTCTGCTCTAATCTAAAAATTGAAGGCCTTAATAGTGTCAGAAACCAAAATTAGTTAATTTATTGTGATCAACATGACTTTTAGAACCTATTGAGAAGTTTGATTAAAATTTGATTCAGTCTGATTTAATTAGATTACGTTTATTGAACTAAGTGTAATTAGTTAATCCGGAGCCTAGATTAGCACCCCAATCTAATCCTCAAGTATAAATAGGCTATAATTAAGTGCTTGGAGACTTAATTACAAGTTTGAGCTCAAAAATTCTGAAGTAGAGAAGTTCAGAGAGAGAGAGAGAGCATGCAATTGTAGAGAGAGAAAAGGGTTGAAATTGAAGAATTTGGCTTAAGGATTGGAGAGTCAAGGAAGACAACTCAAGAACTAGATAAATTGAGCTAAATTGAATACCTTAGGTAAGCCTTTGGAATTTAATTCACGGAATTAAGTTGTCTCATATGTGAATTCAAAGAGATTATGTGCTTAAATAAAAGAATTAAGCTAGAATTGTTAGAATCAAAGTCAATTTGGACATGCATGCATGGTTTGATGGAGTTTCATGAGTTTGAACATCATTCATGTCATCTCATTAGTTGAGTTTTGAAGCCATCTTTCACATGCACTCATGAATTATGAAGTTTTGGAACTTTATTTGCATGGTTTATAAAGTTTTGAAGTTCAATCTTATGTTTTGAAAGCCAAGAAAAAGGAATTTGGTACATGCATGGAAGTTGGGTTTCAAATTGCTTTGACTATGGAGTTTCAAGTTTTAAATTTTGAGTTAAAGGATGTAATTGATCATGGTTCATGTCATCTAAGCTTGAATTGAAGATTAAAGCATCCATGCGTCCATGATTCATAAAGTTTTGAAATTAAAATTCCATGTTTTGAGCCTTGATCTCTCCAAATTGGTTGTGTATCCATGTTTTTGGAAGATTTTCTAAGTGTTTTCTAAGTGTTGTCAAGCCATGTTAGAATGGTGTTTAAAATTGCAAGTAATGAAACTCAACCTTATTTTGGAAATCACAGAATTCTGTCTCATTGTTGAGTGAACAATCTGTTGCTCGAGCGCACTTTGTGAGCATCTAGTATTTTTGCAGACATTTGGCCGTTGGCTCGAGCAACCAAGTGTACGCTCAAGCGAACCCACTTTTGTGCAGGACTTGGCTCAAGGGACTATCGAGCGACCGTTGAGTGTAAAATTCGAGAATGCAATACTTTTGCAGTCCTTACAAATGACTCGAGTGACCAAGTGTGTGCTCAAACAAATACTCTACATATTGTTAAACCACTCGAGCGACCAAGTGTGCGCGCGAATGAAGACCCTATTTTCAACAAAATTTGGCCAATATTCATCAGTGCATATTTGCATCCTCATACTCTGTTAGGCATTCTTTTGTACCATTTGGCCATTCTAAGTGGATTAAAAGGAGAGCATGAAGCCTAAGAGAATTGAAAGAGTTAAAGAACAATCCGGTTAAACAATGTGATTCAACGTGTGTGCATTTATGGTTGTGTAGGATCATCTACAAGAATAAGTCAACAACTGAATCAATCAGAGTAATATCTTAGCAAAGATATTTTCTCACTTACTTTATTTTCTATATATCCTACTGTGATAAACTTTTTGAAACTGTGATGAACTTTCTGAAACTGTGAATTTGCAAAAGTGAATGAGTTTCTATCTGTCTGATCATTGTGATATCTGTAAATGTGATCAATGTGACACAAATGTAACTGATGCACCCAAGGTCCTTCTGTATATTTGATAAGTTGGATCTGAGGTCGTTCTGAACATCTGATAAGTCTAGTTATTTGTTATAAGTTGATTGAATGGCCTCTATACAGTTGTAAATGATTGGACCCGAGGTCGTTCCATTATGATATGATCAACTCCACATTGTACATCTGTTATACATTGGACCTATGGTCGTTCTGTTATTTGTTGGACCCAAGGTCCTTCCATTATGAAATGCTTATAATATAGAAATGCTTATATCATTTACTAGATCACATTCACATAAACCCTATACTCTGATGTTATTCATTAGGCGTTAGCTCACTCTGTTTATATATATGTATGTAGGTGAGCAACGAAATGTCCATCCCCAACCCTAGTAAACCTATTAAGGAACCCAAGTGTTGTGAAGCCTGTTATGAATGCCTCATAAGCGAGGCTTTTGTCTTTCTAATCTTTTATCTTTTGAATTTCTGTTTATTTTTTTTGTCAGTCACACCTTACCGTCTTTATATATAAGTTTTGGTTAATACGTCAGTGATATTTGAAAGATCCTGGACACATGGAATCTTATTGTGTATGTAAGAATATAGGTTGGTAATGTTTGAAAAGTTTTCTATTTATGCCATTTATGCACAGCTAATTGGACAAAACTTTATAATTTTCTTCTGCTTCTGGCCCGTCCTATTATTACTAAATATGTCTGTAATCTGTCTGAGGCTATAGGTAATCTCATGATTATTGGTCGGTTTCGGTATGTAGTTGGTGTTTCGTAATCCTTGGAGGGGTTAGTCTCCTCGTGTACAGTAGCCCTACAATTCGAACTCTTGTGGTTCTGAATCTTGTTTCACAAGTGCAATGTGAAATAGAAAACAAAATGAGACTCCAAGTTCGGCAAATCTTAGAAAATCCATTAATCATCAGAGATGCCAAAATTGGACTACATTGCCAGATTTCAGAGTTGCCACATA